TAAGGGGTTCGGGGGAAGATAAGAAATATAAAGCACAACCGTAAAAGTGACAATTTTTTACCACCACACACATCACATAAATTCCACAAATAGATTGAGTTGGTGCACATAACTCGCTCTCAGGAACGTATTGAAAATTTTGCCACGGGTGGTTCTTTCACAATATGTATATATATATATTAAAGTAAAATCATCCATTGAAAGACAATTCGATGTTATGACGAAAAGGAGATGGAGAGTTGAAGAGATGAAGAATAAATTTATATGCATCCTTCGCCAATGAACATAAATGAATGTAAACTAGAAAAATTCAGTCCTAAAACTTTTATTCCATGGTTGGAAAAGACTATGAAAATAGTTGAAGCCACCGTTATATGAAGAAAATGGAAAATTAAGTTTAAATCTAGAATTTTGGATTGGGTCTGATATTGCTCACACGAATGAAGGCCCCATTGGCAACCTAAAAAAAAAACTTGTCGGCAGCAGCACCATGTCGATGTTAATTGCATTCTACTATGAGGAGATAATTGAAGAAGAGAGAAAATTTGATAAATTTGAAGTAGAAGAAATCCCTAATTCTATATTAAGTGGAGATACTTTTAAGAAAATCATAGATAATTATGCATTTAAGATTCTCATAACTATAATCACAATCCCTAATTTCATGTTAATTTAATTAAGAGGGTAAAAGATTGTACTAGTTGTATATTATGTTATTATTTTAAAATAGTTGTAACTTTTATAAATAACTCTTCAAACACTTGTATTCTGGGTAAATTTCTCCGACAACTATTTCTCTTTCCATCAAGCCTGTTCGTAAAAATTGCACGGGGCGCCCTATTTGGGCGCCCCCTTTTAACCTGTAGCCGCTTTGTCTTTCTGTTTGCACCCGTACCCACTTTTTAAAAAACTTCAGCATCCCTTTCTCCTCCCCTTCTCCTCTTCTTCTTCTTCTTCTTCTTCTTCTTCTTCTTCTTCTTCTTCTTCTTCTTCTTCTTCTTCTTCTTCTTCAATACCACAGTTCTTGCTCTTCACTGTAGTTAGTGTTTGAGATAAGCCTTTACAAATAGAATATGAGATTGGAACTTGCTAGTTTCATGCTTTGCGGTAACTGAAGAAGATAGATTTTCTGGATTTAGCTTTGCACGATATGTAATCGTCAGATTTTCATTGACCATTCTAACAAATTTTAACGGGAAATAATATGTAGCTACTTAAACATGATATTTCAAGACTATCCGCCAAAAATTGCTAGATATTTCCATGTAATTCCTTTGATGAATGTACAAGAAACAGTACAAGAAACAAAGACAAAAACTTCAGCTCTAGAGCTGAAGTTTCCTAGTTACAACATAGAAACTTCAGCTCTAGAGCTGAAGTTTTTATTTTATAACTGGCAAACTTCAGCTGTAGAGCTGAAGTTTTCCGGTTACAAAGACAAAAACTTCAGCTCTAGAGCTGAAGTTTTTCTAGAGCTGAAGTTTTCCAGTACAAAAGAAAAACTTCAACTCTAGAGCTTAAGTTTTTATTTTATTACTGGAAAACTTAAG